TACCACCATCGTCACCACCTTCCACCACCGCCGCCGCCGCCTCTATTGTCTTCCACTGCCACCATAGTCACACCATTATCTCCTTCCACCACAACCACCACACTACTGCCACCGTCTTCCACCAACAACACTGCCACCTTCCACCACCACCACTGCTGCCACCACTTTCCACCATTGCCACCACCGCCACCTTCCAACACCACCACCTACACCACTACCACTTTCCACCATCCACCATCACCATTTATTTTTAAAAAATTATTAGAGAATATCATTTTGTTAATTTAATTTATTTGTTACTAAGATGGATATTTTGGAGAATTCAATTAGAAATTTATTCCATTCTAAATTTTAAATTGGTCCAACCAAACACTAGAATGGTTATTATCATTCTATTCCTACACATTTCATATTTACAACCAAACAATAGAATAAGAATGACCATTCCATTCCACTAGCATTCTCATTCCATTACCTAATGGATCACAAAAATGTTTAGGAAAAATTTATGGAGTAATTCAGCACTGAAATTAGTTAGGGGTCATTTCTCTTCCAAAATTAAACTTTTGATTTTTTTTGACACCTTATCTTTTGGAAAATGTTATATATCACGGATTCATGAATGATTTTTGCGATATAGATATCTGACTGACCCGATTAGGTAAGTTGTTCTAATTAGGTAATTTGCTTACAATTAGAAAACTATCCACCGGACTTCTTCAATAGAGATAAATAGAGAGAGTTATAGAGCGATGATAGAGTGTTTAGAAAAGACACGTAATCTCTTTATTCTTGAACTAAAATGCGTAGATAAGAATAAGGTTGTTTAGACGCCTTTAATCTCAAATTGTGGAGGAAGTTCACTTGGATAAAATGTTTGATCAAAGACAAATTACTTGATGGGCCACGGGTGGGCTCTTAAGAGTTAAAGATGAGAAGAAAAAATATTTTTTTTCAAACCACCGTTTGTATTCTTCTGTTTCGTGAGGATCCGCTGCCTAAATTACACATGAATAATAGATCGTATTTTCATATATTTAATGTGTACATATATATATACTGTGTTTTATATTTGGAAAGAATAGGAAAATACTTTTTATATGATGTATTTTTCTTGATGGTAAAGTAAAGATAGATTTGTTTGAGAAATTTTAGGACGTGATTAGTAAATTTGCGGAAATACCGATATCCTTTTGAAAAATATTTTTTCCTCCTTGTTTGGTTTCCGATTGAAAAGGAAATCTAGGTATTTTTGAAACAAAAACTATTTCGAATTAATTTTAGTGATACCCCTTAAGTCTGGTCAAATATTACATTAGAATATTTTTAAAAAATAAGTATCACTTACACTCTAAATTGTTTTTTAGTCTATGACATAATTAAAAGGGTTAATTACAACGACACCCCCTGAGGTTTGTCATATTGACAATCATATACAATTTAGCCGTTTTTTGAACAAAAACACCCCCAAGTTTACAAATTTAAACAATGACACCCGAAACATGATGAAAGTACATGTTTACCCGTTGACCACGTAAAATGACCAAATTATCCTCATCCAAAAAAATCATTTCTTCTTCCAATTTTTTTTTATCTTCCCATTCATTCCCTATGCCCTTCTTCCCCGCCGTCCATCAAGCCACTACAGGCGCCAAGCCCATCACGTCTCGCCATCGCCCTCATCCGAGCCATCCACAGCCGCAGTCCATTCCTCCACCGTCTGCTCACTATCATGGCCACTGCAGGGCCGTTCGTCGTCGCCGCTAAGCCGAACCAGCCCATAGCCTCTGGCGGCTACGACCATCCAAACAGTCCAATAGACTTTCACGACAACGACACAGGGTCTTCCGACTCTTTCAAAGCTAGCGACAACAACATTCGAAGAGGCTTTCACGGCAATGACACAAGGTCTATTTGATTATTAGAAACAAAACCCCAATATTTCAGTTAGTGTTAATGTAGATTATTGAGTCAATTTGAAGGTAGATAGAGCTAGGGTTTGGTTGAAAAAAAAATTGCAGAAAAGATAACAGGGGTGGTGGGTAGTGTGTGGAGATGATGGTCGATGGGTAGAGAAAACTCCATCTTTCCATCGTATTCCATTCTTGCCGTTTTTGCCTGGAGTATAGAGAGGTTAAAGAGAAAGAGTACAGGGTTTGAGAGAGCTTGCTGCCATCATCCACAAGCTCACAGCCAAAGCCACAACGAGCCCATCGCCGTCACAGCTAGCCCATCTCCCCTTCAGTGTTCACAAACCGCCGTCGCCAAAGCTGGGTCTGTCTCGCCGAGCATTGCCGCGGTTCATCTACAGTGGCAGCCACCGCGAGTCATCCATGGCAATTCAGTTCTACCACCGTTTCGAGCTGAACTAGCCTGTCGCCCACGGCCCAGCTATTTGTCGTCCCTACCATCCCCATCTCTCCACCATCCGAGCCGCCTGCCATCAAAACCAAGCTCGCATCACGCCGCGAACCAGACCATCACGGCTGAGTCCTACCCATAGCCCATCGCCGACACCACCTTGCCTGAACCAGACCGTCTTCACCGGTTGAGCTCTCTACCGTCAATGATCTCTGCACCGCCTTGCTGGCCGTTCCTCTTCGCCGTGACTCAAAGAGGGACTGAAAGATAACGACAGAGAGAGAGAGAGAGGAGATGAGATGAGAGGGTAGTTTGGTTATTTTAGGTGGATTAAAATATATCTTAGGGCATATTAGACATTTCATGTCACTTAAGGCTGTGTTTGGCTCCGTTTTTTTAAAATGGGGTGTCTTTGTTCAAGTTTGCAAACCTGTGGGGTGTCTTTGTTCAAAAAAGGGCTAAGTTATATATGGCTGTCAATATAGCAAACCTCAGGAGGTGTCGTTGTAATTAATCCTAATTAAAATGACGTGAACAAACATTTTACTCTCATTTTAATAATTTTAGTTACTATTTAAGTTTGACCAAATATTATATTAAACCATCTTTAAAAAAATAAGTATTATTTACACTCCAAATTGCCTTTTAATTTCTAACATAGTTAAAAAGACGTGAAAGAACATTTTTTACCCTCATTTCTTTATTGAATTTTGATCCTAAATATTAGAAACAGAAAAGGACTAACTTGCCCATCCATATCTCTCTCTCTCTCTCAAATGATAATCAATTTGCAGCATCTCTCTATCATAGATATACATATACACATATACATACATATTGTCATATACATAGATATACAAACACAAATTTGTGTGTATATATATATATACACGCAAAGATATAGCAAACACAAAAAAAAATTCAACAATTTTCTTGAGAAAATTTGCAGGGGCCGCGTCGAAAAAATAACAACTATTCATGACCTTGAGTTCCATGGTTTTCGGCAGCCATCGATTCCAACCTGATACGAATTCCGCCACCACCACCCACTATCGCCTCCACCACCACCATCCAACAATAGGGATTTCATACACGAATCGTCAAACAAATCGGACTGTGAAAATAGTATTCCTCCAACCCAAACCAATAACCAAGAAGGAAAAGATAGGGTGTGCAAATTAGATAATCAATTTTTCTGAAATGAAGTAAATGATGGTTGTTGTTCATCGAAAGATCATTTTCAATGGAACCCAATTAGTTCCAGGAATATGTAACTTTATATCATTTCCAGAATCTACAATCTTTTTCAGAAAAAGAAAAAAAAAAAAAAGAAGGTTAAATCTCCCTAAAATTTCTCTCTTTCTTTTAAAAAATTCCCATAATTTTCCATTACTTCAAAAAATCTGAAAAAGAAACACAAAGACGGAGAAGACAGTTAGTGTGCAAATTAGATAATCAAACGGCGATGGAGAAGGTCATGTGTTCGTGTGCGAGAAGGTCGGAAAGCACAACGGCTATGGAGAAACAATGGAGAAGAGAGAGAGGAGAAGGATGAAAATGGTTGAGAAATGATGGAGAAGAGAGGAGGAAGAAGAGAGAGAAGACCGGGCATATATCACTGTATATGTGTGTGTATATGCGCTTTGTATATGTGTGCTAAAAAAAAAAAAAAAAAAGCATAGGTATTTTGGTCTTTTAAATATATTTTTTAAGATTAAAGGGGATTTAGACAAAATCAAAGGATAAATAAAAATGTTTTTTCAAATATAAAAAGTGGCCAATAACAATAATTTTTTGGGGGTGTGAATGAAAACGAACTAAACATTTCTAATGTCAATGATAATTATTTTTAAAATATATTTAAATATGATATTTGTCCAAACACAAAGAGTGTCCTAAAATTAACCCAACTATTTTTGTGCACAAATTTTTTTATTTTTACAATGCACCCACTTATTGAAGGATTATTAAACAGGTATACAGAGGCTCCCACTGAGAGATCGAGAGATGGCTATGGTTTCCTATACCCAAAGGATGAGTTTACTCCTTGGAAGCAGAGTCTCCATAAAACCTACAGTGATCTCTTCGTCCGTGCAACGTTATTTTTCATCTTCTCTTCAAACATCAGCCACAACATCAACTCCTCCTTTGTCCTCCGCCTCCCCGTGGCTGATGGTGCCTCCTACTTTGATTCCTGACTGGGAAGGCGTCTATAAGCGTAAGACGGATGGTAAGTACTGCCCTGACTGCAAAAGCACAGTTTTTGGATATGTGAGAACCACACAATTCGAGGTTAAGCCAAATTCGGAGGTGAAGCCAGAGGACAATGACTACTATCACTTCTTGAATGCTGCAGAGAATAAGTTTTTCAAGAAGAAGAAGAATCTATGGATGCCATGGCAGACCGATCACCTCTCACCGGACGAGGCCATCTGCATTGGCTCCTCTCATGGTTGGCTTGCCTATATCCATCGCCGCAATTGCTCCCTCTATCTCTACAATCCCTTTATTGACTCCTGCCCTATCTTCCTCTCCCTCCCATCGAAACCCTCCCTCCAGTTATGTCAAGTCGACGTCTCAATGGTATGCACATTGATTCTGATGCCTCCTCCTCCTCCTCCTCTGTTGTTACCGAGTTCATGATATGGAAACAGATGTTACCCATATCAGCTAAAGAACTGAGTGAGAGGTTCTTTAGGAAGCTTGCTATGTCCTCAGCCCCAACTCCATGTTGTTCGAGTCACTATCAGAATGTTGATCAAGACTCTCACTGCACCGTCATGGCCATCCTACACTATGACCACCCAAAACAACTTGTTTTCTGCAGAATTGGCGACACTAAATGGACTACGCTGGATTCGGACGAATGCTACGCTGATCTCTTGTATTTTAGCAAGAACAAACTTTTTTATGCTTTGTGCGATAGTGGTTCAATAGAATCTTGGGATCTCACCGACCCTTCTTTTCCAAAGAGATCACTTGCAATTTCTACTGTGCCGCCACACTTCTCCAGTGATAGCACTCAGTATTTGGTGGAATCTTCAGGGGATCTGTTGATGGTTATTAGGCATTGGGGTGATTGCCCTAATGACCTTGATAACAACATTATGACCTGGAAATTTGATGTGTATAAACGAGACTTTGTTGAAAACAATTGGGTACATGTGCCGAGCTTAAATGATCATATATTATTTATTGGCCAAAATCACGCTGTTTCTCTTTCAGCCCATGAATTCCCGGGGCTAAGAAAGAATTCTATTTACTTCACTCCCGAATATCTTGACCTTGACGAACAATCTTGGGGATGTTGGGATTTAGGGGTATTTAACTTGGAAAATAAGATCCTCTACCAGTTCGATTTGAGATTGGAAATTCAAGCTTCTCCAATTTGGGTTGTCCCTCAGCTTTGAGTAGAACTCCACTAATCCTTGTTTGTCTAATTCAAAATCTATGCTATGTTTTAGTATCTTTGTTTGTCTAATTCAAAATCTATGCTATGTTTCAGTTTTCTGCTATGTGGCATTCTTGTCATATTCAAAATCAATGCTATGTTAACTCCATATTGAATTGTTTTTTTAATTGTTTTATTTCTAGAAACCTTCCGGAATTCAAAGTGGCTGGTGATGCATATGTTATTAATTTTTAGTAATATTTTATTAAAAAATATTAAATTTCAATTATATATTTAGTCTTAATTATAATTAATATAATTTAATGATGGTTTATAGCAATTTTTCTTATTATTTTTACCACCATATGATACTCTTTGTTCTTACTCTAAGATTGTGTTTGCCGGTATGAAATTGGTGGAATTTGATAAAATTATGGTTCAATTTGTTGAGTTGTTTTTCTCCAATTTCACAAATTCTAGCTCCAAAACTCCAATTGTATGTCTGCCCAGACATAACCTAAGGTATGTTCGGCTACGTGGAATCGGAACTTTAGAATTGAAATTGATGGAATTAAAAAAAAAAAAAAAAGTAACTTACAAAATTGAACCAAAATTATCTCTAATTTCAAAACTCTAATTCTATGTAAAAGCTTTTTAAAGAAAATTGAGCATAATGGAGAATTGCTTTATGGTTGAAATGAGTGTCATGAAGGAAGAATAACTCTAATCAAGATTAGGGATTGGGGATTAGAGATAGGTTTAATTTGGTAGACATATGGATGTGTAAAGATCAAACAAGATCAAACAAAAACTCTCAATAAATCATCAGAGATTAACGTGCACTCGAAATTCCAATTAATATTCACCATTCACTGAAATTGTTCTCATTTAAATAAAAAATCTATGCCTAGTTTTAAAACGTTGCAAAATACTCTCTTCCTCATTTTTTGAAGTAACAAACACCCATAATTTATCAACAGGATGACACGCACAAATCGAGAAAAAAAAAAAAAAAAATTCCTATTGCCTAACTCAAGACTAACTGGATTTAAGGATGACACGCACAAATCGAGAAAAAAAAAAAAAAATCATATTGCCTAACTCAAGACTAACTGGATTTAAGGTGGGATATAAAATTACCCAAAAATCCATATAGATAATGATCTTAGAATAAATAAATAAATAATTGAAGTAACAAATGTATAATTTTCATGACCAAAAACCCTGCTAAGTATTCGTAACTTGTATTAGTCCTCCAGAATGCGTACAACCCTTCACTGAAGCACCTCCAACCCTCCTCATGGATTCATCAAATTCTCAACCTTTTTGGATTGTACATGAACCACAATTTATATGTTTATTGTCACAATTTTCTACTTTGGTTATCTCCAACTTTCTATTGTTCTCAATTGGCCTACCGAGCTGAAGGGCCATGCCTATAATCTTTGACAATGTTTTTCTCTGATTTTAACATTATGGGTGTGGAGGGAAAAATCTCCCTCCAATGAGAACTGTACACGTCATCGCAATAGAAATACCCATCACAAATGTCAGAGGCCCATCCTGCTCAAAACCTAGTCCAAGCTCGTTGACAGCCCAAAATCATAAGACATTAGCCCAAGGTCATAGCTAATTGATCTTTGTTGCATTGCTCAAGCCCGAAACAAGAGATCCAACCCGTTAGCAATGTCACATGGATCAGGTTACTTATGGCCCAAATCCATTGAAAGGAAATTAGTCCTATTAGAAGAAGGATACAGCAAAGAAAGAAACTACTACACAAGGAAAATTATACAAAGGAAGGAGCTCTATTTGTAAAGAATTTATATAGGGAAAGAATTGGAGGACAAGCAATGCGAGTCCTACCATAATTCAACCGATCTTTTGTGTATAAATAGAGGTCCAGACCTCTAATAAAAGGGATCAAGCAATTCTACGCTTCTCTATACACTGTTCTTATTTATTCTTATTGTTTTTGAGTGAGTTGTTTTATTTTTCTCAATCATTATTGGTTGAGCGAAATTTTGCACCTACACTTTGGCGCCGTATGTGGGAAATGTGTGCAAATATATTCCCACTCTTGTTTCAAGTGAATCCTGCTACTACCATCTGGAATGTCGAATGGAGGATCTTCAACAGATCAGCAGATGGAGTTGATGCAGAAGATGCATGAAGAGTTTCTACACCAGTTTGACGTACTTCGTCAAGCAAACGAAGCTAGCGTGGCTCAGATCGCCTTGCTTCAACAGCAGAATAACACTCTGCAAACGGCGATGGTCAGTTGGCACCATCGCCACTACCAGGTGATACGGCAGCACCCCCGAATCAGAATATTCCTCTAGTTAATGAGCCTCAACCTAATGGGGCACAACCCAATGAGGCTCAGCCAAACGAGGTTCAGTAACAGCAGAGGGCAAGGTCCGAGGCAGTCGCTTCAGATAACTTCCCTAGTCGCACGCAGGACGAGCAAGCCGAGTTTAGCCATAAGCTCACGGTATGGTCCAATGGTATTCCAGATGGTGCAGGTTTTCAGGATGCCTTTGATGATAAAAGACTCCTGAAGATTCAGACACCCGCTGAGATGGCAGAAAGCACAAAAACTCCCTGGTGAAGACTCCTTTCACTGACGATGTGTATATGGTTGAGAGGCCCAAGAAATTTACCATGCCTTCTTTTACTCAGTTTGACGGAATGGGAGATCCTTCTCGGCACCTGGATCATTATGCCCAAAAGATGGCTTTGGATGACCGTAATAATCCTTGGATGTGTAGAGTTTTTCCTACCAGTCTGATAGGAGCAGCATTATAGTGGTTCAGGAATAGGACACACAAGTCCATCCCGGATTACGTAACTCTGTGCACCATGTTCCTTGCACAATACTGCGGAAATAAGAAGCAAAAGAAGAGTATTGCTAGCCTTTTCACCGTAAGGCAAAAAAAAAGGGAAAAACTGCAGGATTTCTTATCTAAATTCAACATGGAAGCCTCGGAAATAGCAGATTGTCATCTCGCGACTGCTATAGAAACATTCAAACTTGTAATGATTCAGGGGACGAAGTTTCACACTTCCTTGGTCAAATATTCTCCTCCCGACATGCAGACTCTTAATGCCAGGGCCCAGATCTACATCCGGCTCGAGGAAAATGTAGCCCACCGAGCGCAGCACGCCACCCTTGTGACAATGGAGAACAAGCCTCGGGAGAGAATTTCAAATTCAAAGATCCAGAAAAGCCAGCGCGCCTTAACGCCGATCACCCAGGCACCTGAGAAGAGGCAAAGGATAGAGGAAGGGTTTACACCTCTCCGAACTACCTTGGCTCGGCTTTTCCAAGAGAATAAGATGAGGTTCACAGCCCCGCAACTAATGAAGCAACCTTTAGAGCAGAGGGACAAAAGCAAGCATTGTGCTTATCATCGAGATTATAGGCATTCAACTAATGATTGCAGATCCCTTAGGCGACAAGTGGAAAATATGATAACTAGAGGTGAGTTGACAGATGACCTCATGACGAAGGAGTATGTGAAGCCCCGCAAGGTCCATCCTCGCAAAGTAGAAGGTACTCAAGTGAAGGTCATTCATGCAATACATGGCAGATCTGAAGATGATCAAGAATCTGAGGAAGTATACAGATCCAGATTGAGGGCAGTCCATAAGCTCAGGAAGTTATCCTCTGTCAATGCTATTGCTTCGGGCAACATCAGTATTGGATTCGGCAATGGTGACCTATCCAGAGTTCAACTCCCCCACGAGGATCCATTGGTCATGATCGGTTGGTCAATCATACATCAACCTTCGCAATAGCACGAATCATTGTAAAATAGGGCTATTGGTCGGGTAAGTCGAACCACTGGGACTGTGCTAGTCTAAGGCAACCTAAATGTCTAGAATCATTCTTAGAATGATAAGGGGTAATAAGGGTTTGTTTGTTTGTCACTAAACTAGAAATGTAAAGATGTATAAACTAGTAGATTGTAAGGAATGTAAAGAAGTGAGATACAAGTAGAAAAGACTAGGGAGATGAATCCATTACCTACTCTATTAACATGCTAGTATGTGGTTAACTTAAGAAACAAATTAGATATATGGCAATGATATGTAGCAATACAAAATTACTACACTATCTCCAAGAATTTCATAGAATCAAGATTTAAACATAATCCCTCAAAGTTATACATGCTTGACTACCTAAATGAAATTGTAGCTTTACATATTCACTAAGCTAGGGACTATCAAACCCCTCAATAACTATGGTGATAGCATATGGAGCTAAGAATCAAGAATAAATCCATCAAAGGGGGACCCTAAGCTATGGACTAACAAGATTCTCAAATACATGCCAATAAAAACACTTTCACAATCTTGTTTCCATTGTCACTATGGAAATGAAAGCAATACAACCATGAGAACATACACTCTAAGAGAAGATAATATATTCAACATGATCATTTATAAGAATTTATGTTCATTACATCAAATACAAGCTCTAGACCATGAAAGTGCCATATATATACATATTTCCCAAGATTAAACCAAAACTAAGACATGCTTACAAAGTAGGGCTTCATCACCTCCCTAGATAGGGAGTTAGTTACCCATTGCCAAGCTAGAAGAAGGAAGAAGCTCCATCTTCATGGCCATTTTCGTGCAACCTTCTTGGAGCTTGAAGAACACCTTTCTTGCTCTCTTCTCTCTCCTCTATCTTCCCAAAAATGAAGCTTAATGTAAATGTGTGGCTCTCCCCTCTTTATCTAGATAAGAAATCCACCCAAAAAGCCCTCTCTCCCCTCCAAGAAACATCCCCAACCAACTCATAAAGGAGGGCTTCCAAAGTAGGTAAAATCTGAGCACAAGTGGGCTGAGTTGTGTAGAATTCTACCCTAATTTCGAGTGCTCGAAATAGGGCCTCGAGCACTCAAAAATTGGCCAGAATGCCCTATGCTTGGTTTGCTCCGCCCGGACCTACTTTGATAAAACGGCCATAACTTTGCGCTCCGAACTCCGAATGATGAACCGTTTGAA